GTAACAACTCTGGTTTCGTCGTGGCGATTCCACAAAAGTTTTTCCACCCAGACTGGTGCGGAGTGCCGATGGCACATGGTAGTTCGATGTGTTCGGACCAGGTGAAGTGTTCCTCGAACACTAACAGGCAGATTGTCGATCTGCCGCGGCACATCAGGTGCCAATTTGCGAGGCGGCCCAGCACGCCTGTCGCAGGCACTGCAGTGGTAGCTCTGACAAACCGCCTTAAGAGTGAAGTTATGTATGTATGTACATCTATGTAAATAAACTTGTATATACTCACTCGAGTCTGTTTTCCTTGTAGCGTAGATCCCTACCCAAGACGTTACAATATGATTTCTTCTTTTCAGGAAATTCTGCAGATTTTGTAAACTGTCTTCTAAAAGTATCCAACTCGTAATAAGCAAATACGTCAGATTTCCATTCAGAAACAAAAACATAACATGAAATGAACGTTTTTAGAATTGGTTTTATAATTTAGAGGTTATACGTGAAAAATATTTTAAAGCATTTCTGGTCCCAGTTGCAAAAAAAAAAAAACAAAAACAAATTACATCAAACCAAGAAAACTTAAAATTATAAACAACATGTAAATTGGATATAAATTGCATATCAAAAGATATTCATGTGAATAATTATTAGTGTCGCAATTTTTTTTGGAGGGGGGTCTCAGAAAAGCCCCCTAACAGTGTCTGTATTAAAATAGGAAGTATACCTTTACGTTGGGAGTGAAAGTTAAAATAGGAAATGTACTTTAAAATAGTACGTTAAAATAGCATGTATACCATAAAATATGTTTTATACATTAAAATAGTGTGTATACACTATTATATATATGTATATATAGTATATAGGTGTATACCTTCAAATAGGGTGTGTATTTCACAAACTTCGGAAAACTTGTGCTAGTATTGTATTACAATCATTTTGGACATTAGGCCCACCGATGAATATTCACGTGAAAGTATATTACTTGTGTTGTTAGAATGTAGGAAATGCAAGGGCGTGGCGTGCAGTATTTTGGTGGGCAAGGAACAATTTCTTAGCCTGTACTCAGATTTTTCAAGTCTAAAGTATTATTCAATTAAAATGTCACAAACAGGATTATTACTGATGTAGTAGAGCCTTCAAATCAAATAAAACGCACTCGAATGGTAATTAAACTCAAAAAATCTTGAAACATTTTGGAAGAGACACTATAGCACCAATATTTATTTTAACTATATAGCATTGTGGCGATTGTTTAATACATAACTTACCAAAAACAGATCTGGATTTTTCTACAGCAAGAAACATGAATGGTCAATAATATAACTAATGGTTATTAGCGCATCATGTAAACCACAAAAGCTTGTCCTATAGATTTCTTTGAAAATGTCGCTCAAATATCTTCTTCCGATACTACTGTTCAAAGCGTTGAAAGTAAGTCGCCCTTCGTTTACAATCTTTACTTTTTTCTATCACTTCTACTCTCAAATGGACGAATCTGAAAAGTTCTATTACACAGCTACACACCAAAGTAAGTTGAAACACCTTAAATTTTCTGTTAACAAAAAATCCAACTGCATCCCTAAAACCGCCCAAACCAAACGTTGTTTACTTAACTAGTAACGCTATGCATGAGAACATTGCTGCAGGTAATGATTTGTGCTGAGCTTTGCTGATGCTGTGCTGGCTTGCATACGAATTAATTGGAACTTTATGGTACCAGAAGACTTTGACCAGCGCAGTCTTTCCTTTCTTTTAACAGAGAATCAACGTAATCAGAGAATCATTCCTTCGCATGGACGAGTGACGTCATCATAAGTTAAATATCTATGGATAATGAGATTAGTGCGTCGACGCGTTGCAGGTGGGGCTTGCATTGCAGTAGAGAGATATATGTACCTTCAAATGGAAGCTTTTGAACACTTAGACGGCAGGAATCATTTAACAATATTCACTCACAATATGTAACTTAAAAAGTAGGGCAAACAATGGTTGTTGTACTTGATCTAAAACATCGCCACTGTTGAAAAGTACCCTTCAAAGCATTATTTTTACAAAGAATTATTTATGCACCTAGGGCGTTATAAGTGTTCTAATGATCGAATGGAGACAAAATGCCCGAGGACCTTTTTGTGTCGCCCGAGATCATTGTAACCCGTTAACGGCCGTAGTACATAATTTAATGTTTACCTGGTTTTATTGATACACATTTATTTATTTAATAATTGACGAGAAGTTAACTTGACTTGATTTGTCTTGTCATATTTCTCTCCTATAATTCCCTCTCATAATTTCCTCTAATAATTTACTGCATAAGATAACATGTTGCATGATTCAACTGTTTTCATATTTTCTTCGTAACCACGATCCTTTCAATCCAGA